CATGAGTGTGTGTGTGTGTGTGTGTGTGCGCGCATGTGTATGTAGCTGCTCTTTGTTGTCATTGGCATCCCCTCATAAATCTGCTTCAGTGTCAGTGCTAACAGGTTTAACCCTGCATGCATTCCCTCACACCACACACACACACACACACACTGACTGTTTACACTTTATTAACTGCACAGACTGAAGTGAGCGAGCGACGTCTGTGTGACATCACGGACACTCACTAGAGCTCACTAGTTAGTGCTGACTGCCAAGGGAAGGAGTCCTGCTGCTCATATGACGGACTGAAGATGAAAACAAACCACAGTCTATACCTTTTCTATTGTTATTCAACACACACACACACACACACACACACACACACACACACACATATATTTATATATTATACTGTATTATATATTATATATTTAGATTTTACTTCTGAACCTAGCAACCACCCTGTTTACCTTAGCAACCACACACTCGTGTTATTTCCCTGCTTTGACTGTGCTGTGGTGCACTGAAGCGTCTGATTGAGCGTTTATGTATAATCGGTGTGTGTTTTCACGCGCAGTTCACAGTTTCGGTGTGTGTGTTCTTCCCGGCACCAAACTGGAGAGCGGACCGGCGATGCTGCATTTATGCAATGATGTTCTGGTCATCGCTAAAGATCATCCAGCGGTCATCATGGCGCACTGGAACCTGCTGGACCTGCGAAGATACGGAGCGATACACAACGGCTTCGTGTTTGAGGGAGGAACGCGCTGCGGCTACTGTGAGTATCGCCATGTGATGGGTATATACAGTTAATATAGGGATAAAGTACATCCATGAGGATGTTATCACAGAATAAAGACCCACGGGTTTATCGGTAGCCTGACGCAAAGGGAGGTTTACAACCACCTGGATGTACTTTATCCTGCTTATTACATGGCTACTTAAACCCACAAAACACAAACATCAGACACAAAACATTGTTCTGAGCCCTAATAGTTTATTCATTTCATTTAGATAAATGCTGAAGCTGACAGAAACTAAAACAGCTGATGGAGTATACACTAACCTGCGCATTGTTCAGACACTAGATGGAGAAAAACAGTCAAAATCACAAAGCTAACAGGATGAAAACAGCTGATGGAGTATACACTAACCTGCGCATTGTTCAGACACTAGATGGCGCCAAACAATTTGAAACATTCATTCATTCATTTTCTTGTCAGCTTATTCCCTTTATTAATCCGGGGTCACCACAGCGGAATGAACCGCCAACTTATCCAGCAAGTTTTTACCCAGCGGATGCCCTTCCAGCCGCAACCCATCTCTGAGAAACAATTAAAAACAGTCAAACTAAATATACAGTCTGTACATTAGAAACATCATTCCAGCTATGGGGAGTCCCCATAAAGATAACTATACAAGTATGTGTGTGTGTGTGTGTGTGTGTGAGAGAGAGCAGGTTTATGTGGTTTACAGGGATACAAAGTTGCATAATGACATGGGTATGGTTTAATTGTACTCTATTAAGATGGTTTACGAGGTCACACCTCATGTCCCCATAATTCAAAATGCTTCATAATCATACTTAACGAGGTCTTTTGATGTTCAAATGTTGCCACAGGTTTACTGTGAGGGTTGGGTTTAGGGGTAGAGCTATATAATAAGCTTTATTTACTATATAAAACAGATTGTGCCTATGGAGTGTCCCTGTAAATCATGGATGTGTGTGTGTGTGTGTGTGTGGTCGCTCTGCTGGTTTTGTGTGGTCTTCTTCCTCTGGAGTGACGGCTGTTTCTGCTCATTGACCTTCACCTCAGGAGGCTTTATCAGATTCCTAGAAGAAGTGAGTCAGACCTCATTTATCCAGACCTGCAGAACTGACACACACACACACACACACACACACACACACACACACACACTTATCCAGAATTATCACCAGTTATATGGAAAATACAGTACAATCAGTCAAAAAAAGTCCCCTTGCACAAAAAAACTAACAAAAAAATCAATGTTGGCTTTAAAGTGATGGTTAGTCTTATTTAAATGTGGTACTAAAGCGTTATTACTTGCCAAAGAAGCTGTCAAAATATTAAAGTCATAAAAATGAGTTAAACCAAAACTAAATTAAACTATATATATATATTTATATATGTATAAACTCCACACAGAAACGCCAACTGAGCCAGCCGAGACTCGAACCAGCGACCTTCTTGCTTTGAGGCGAACATGCTACCCACTTTGATCTTTTTATAGTGTTTTAGTGTTCTTTTGTAGCTCAAAAGCTGTATTCATCTGTAAAAGAGTGAGCAGAACATTATACTGTTGAGTGTGTCAGTGTGTGTATCAATGTGCTTGTTTGTGTGTGTGTGTGTGTGTGTGTGTGTGTGTTTCAGTCATGCGGGTGTTTGAGATAAGGGCACTCTCCTGATTTTTATCTTCTATGTGTGTATGTGTGTGTGTGTGTGTGTGTGTGTGTGTGTGTGTAGGGGCCGGCGTCTTCTTCTTGTCTTGTGCCGAGGGCGAGCACATCAGTTTTTTATTCGACTGTATTGTTCGTGGTATTTCTCCGTCCAGAGGCCCGTTTGGACTGAAGCCACTGTTCCCAGGTCAGTCTGAGACCCGTCATCACAATCACCACAACAGATCAATTACTATAGTTGTTGTGTTACCATAGCAACCGTAGAATCACCACAACAGATCAATTACTATAGTTGTTGTGTTACCATAGCAACCGTAGAATCACCACAACAAATCAATTACAATAGTTTCTGTGTTACCATAGCAACTGTGGAATCATCACAACTGATCAGTTGCTATAGCTGTTGTGTTACCATAGCAACTGTATAATCACCACAACAGATCAATTACTATAGCTGTTGTGTTACCATAGCAACTGTATAATCACCACAACCGATCAATTACTATAGGTGCTGTGCTACCATAGCAACTGTGAAATCACAACTGATCAGTTGCTATAGCTGTTGTGTTACTATAGCGACTGTGGAATTATCACAACTGATCAGTTGCTATAGCTGTTGCGTTACCATAGCAACTGTATAATCACCACAACAGATCAATTACGATTGTTGCTTTTACAATAGCAACTGTATAATCACAACCGATCAATTTCTATAGCTGCTGTGTTACCATAGCGACTGTGTAATCTCAACAGATCAATTACTATAGTTGTTGAGTTACCATAGCTACTGTGGAATCATCACAACTGATCAGTTGCTATAGCTGTTGTGTTACCATAGCAACTGTGGAATAACCACAACAGATCAATTACAGTAGCTGTTGTGTTACCATAGTAACTGTAGAATTACCACAACATTTTGGTTTACCATAGTTGTATCATTCCTCTTACATGTAATAACTGTGTTAAGCAGAAGAAAAAACGTTTAAGTTACAAATGTTTTCATATTAACAAAGAAGCTGTCCTTCAATAATTGATCACATTGAGTCATTACTTAGGAAAACTGCCACAACCCCCAAAAAGTATGTGTATCGGTATTGGTGAGTACAAGAAAATATGATCGGTACTTGTCTTTTAAAAAATCATTCGGTGCATCCCTCGTTACTTTACACCGCTGTGCCTCTGATGTCCCTCAGGATGATCAGTGGCGGTGGACAAATATCTGACTCCTCTGGCCATTTGCCTTCTGGCCCACATGACTGCTCTATTATTAGCAGTTTAAGTGCTGGACAAACACTGGGGTTCAGCTGCAACCCCTTTACATGAGCTCAACATGTCCCCGATGCGCACTCGTACACACTACTCAGACAGGCTGTTCATATTATACTTACTAACAAAAACCTGAAGGCAACAAAGGCTCATTTCTTTTAATTGCGTTGTAACCTTTCAAGGGCTGCATTGATTCAAGGGCATGTTTCAAGTAATCCAATTCTGATACTTTACTCCCAAATAGCACAGATTAGAAATGGTCCATATATATGTAAGCAGGAACAATCATGTGGATTCACATGCACTCTTGGAAACACTGGTGGGACACTTTCGATTTATAAAATTTGCATTCGAATTTTCAAGCCTGAGTATGAGATCATTTAAGCATTATTTACGAACATTGACTCATTTAAATGGCTTAGAAGTCATTTTACATGTACAGTAATTGCTAGCAGACACAAGTTATTAAATGATGGTGTTTGTTCATCTTTTCAATGATTATACAGCTACAGAGCAGAGCCTCGCATTCACATTTGATTTGTTTGTTTATGTGTCTATTTCTGAGTGTCAGTCAGTAAGTGTGTATCTGCAGTGTCTCTCAGCTGTTTTTGATCTCCTCGGTGTGTTTGTGTGTTAGAGCTCAGTGTCAGTGCAGCTTCAGTGCAGGACAGACTGAACCATGAGGCTGAAGAGCTGGAACGAAGACTTAGTCTGCTGTCTCACGCCACAGGTACTGTTTCACCTGTCCTACCCATGTCTCCTGTCTTACCTGTCTTATCTGCCACACCTGTGTCTCCTGTCTCACCCATATCTTCTCTCTTACCTGTCTCATCTGCCTTACCTGTCTCACCTGTGGCTTCTGTCTCATCCTTTTTACCTATCTCACATGTGTCTTCTGTCTTACCTGTGGCTTCTGTCTCATCTTTCTTACCCGTGTCTTCTGTCTCATTTGTCTTACCTGTCTCACCTGTGTCTTCTGTCACATCTGCCTTACCCATCTCACCTGTGGCTTCTGTCTTACCTGTCTCACCCATGTTTTCTAACTCCCCTGTCTAACCTGTCTCACCTGTGGCTTCTGTCTTACCTGTTTGACCCGTGTCTTCTGTCTTACCTGTCTCACCCATTTATTCTGTCTTACCTGTTTAATGAGTGTCTTCTGTCTTACCCATCTTGCTTGTCTCAACTGTTTCTTCTGTCTCACCTGTCTCATCTCTCTTACCTGTCTCACTTGTGTCCTCTGTCTTACCTGTCTCGCCTGTGTTACCTGTCTCATCTGTGTCTCCTGTCATTCCAGGCTCCTGTCTCACCTATGTCTCCAATTCTTATTTGT